CCAAGTGAAGTGAAGAGGTGCCCGACAACTCATTTCCGATATCAACATTGGCTTCTTCAGCGATGAGTCTTTGTGCTTCCTTCGCATTACCTGAAAAATAATTTTGATCAATGAAATTGATTGAACGAAACATTTTTTTAAAACATAAATGCTCAAAATTACCAGTCTCAGCAGCTCTATGCAGGGCTGTATTCTCATTTTCGTCTTTTCCGTTTACTGAAAGCTAAAAAAATATAGTTGAACAGTGTAATTGTGAATTGAATCGAAAGAAAATGTCTTGTATCCGTGAGATAAACTTTTCCACGCAAGAGCGCGTGGAAGTGTCGAAGTGATTGGGAAATGAATATTAGTCTATTCAGAGGCTTCCTTCAATTTCATAGAAAAAATAGAATGAAATGGAGATACTTGATAAAGAAATGGAGCTTTTTTCTTACCGTCTCCATTCACATCCACGATTAGGAACTGTTGAAATAGAACAAAGTGATACAATTGTATTGGGAACATCGGATGATATTATTATATAATGGTTACCACTGTTTTTCATTCGAACAAACGATTCCGATGGACATTTTCTTTTTATAGTGGAAGATTATTTATTTTTCAATCTAGAAACTTAAAAATGGACATTTTTCGAAATAAGTTCAGAAAAAATTATTATCACGGAGGACGGTAGTCCGACAAGTGACGCTCCAACAACCAGTGTTGTTAGATAGGCTGGACAATTGTCCACTTTTGCATAAGCTGGCGTAAGCCACCACAAATTATCCAGTAACGAAACAAACACAATTGAACATGTCACTTTCATGTTCAGTGTTGGCTCTGTTGTTTGCCGTATAGCCGGAGAGAGATGTCTACAGCTTAGTGGCGTTGAATGACATTCAACACCCATGCACAAGACCGTATGCATTAGTATTGGTGTGAGAAGCGCGAACGTTTAGTGTATCCGCATGCGTTCTACACTTACATTCTGCCGTTGTTTTGTATGAGGAATATAGTGTAAGTGTGAATAAGGCAGAAAAAGAGCGAACGCGATACGTACACCGCAAAAATGAAGAGTATTTTTTCTCTTGAGGTGTTATGAAACTATGTTTTTATTATATTCCTTTTGTGCCGAGCAAAGGTGATGAAAATAATCTATGGGCTGCGATCAAATTTTTCTCCTCTGAATAAGCTTCAATATAACAAATAATGATAATTTATAACGATTCTATGACCTTTTTCAAATATTTAACCGATATGCGAATATTTCGTACTAAAATTGGTAGAGATATTTAGATGACGCGCACTTAAGCTATTGCTCAAGTACCACGTACTTAAGTACTTATTTATCAGTAGACTTATCATGTCATTTCTAGTGTCATTTATTTGTTGTTGGTGATATCAGCATCAATTCTAAAGAACATTTGAAGCTAGCGACCAGTACTACGGCAATTAAGTACTAGCTTAAGTACGTGGCACTTAAACGTGGATTTAAACGAATTCGCTGATGTATGGTTATTCTTCAAAAATAAGCGTTTATCTGCATATTGGCGGATATAGGCGTACATCGGTCTCTATTGTTCTATATTTTTATGTTGAATTCACATTAAATGTACACGATTGACACGAATATTCAATTTATTTCACCAATTGACACCGATATACCAATGAATAGCGATGAAAAGCCAATAACATAAATAATAGCGTACAACCTATTGATATTTTCCCCTAGAAAATAATAGTGACACTTGAATCAAAATACTTTTAATGTTATAATTATATTTATTTAGAAAAAGTAAAAAAAATGAATCAGAAATATATGAACGATCCAGTTTTTGTGTGGCCGCTCCACCAGCATGATTGTTAGTTGTGCAGCTGACCAACTGACCAACTGACAAGCAAACTGCAGCGCTAGTGTCTATGTGTCAAAATTTTCAATTCCCCTGGATTAAAAGGTTGGCGACATTATTGTGACCTGGAAAATAATAAAGATCAATGAAAAAGATTAAAGCGGTATTTAATTTAGTCAGCAGTACCATTGTTAACAGCTAACTGACGAGGTGTTAGATTCTCAACATTTCTAATATCAACTTTGGCGCCTTTTTTGATGAGAAGTTCAGCAACATTCTTGCGACCTTAGAAATAATTTAGATCGATGAAAAAGATCAAACCGATTCTTTATTTTGTGAAAATAACTATTCAACATTACCATATCTAGCAGCATAATGAAGAGGTGTATGATTGAATTTAGACATGGCATCCATATTGGCGCCTTTGTTGATGAGAAGTTCAGCAACATTCTTGCGACCTTAGAAATAATTTAGATCGATGAAAAAGATCAAACCGATTCTTTATTTTGTGAAAATAACTATTCAACATTACCATGTATAGCAGCTAAATGAAGAGGTTTTTGATTAATATGATTCATGATATCCATATTGGCGCCTCTGTTCAGGAGAACCTCGGCGACATTTTTGTGACCTGAAAAATAATTCAGATCGATGAAAAAGATCAAACCAATTTTTTTTATTCAGCGAAAATAAATACTCAACATTACCTTTGAAAGCAGCTAAATGAAGAGCTGTGCAATTCAAATCATCTCCAATATCAGCATTAGCTCCATTCTTGAGAAGCACATCAGCGACACCTCCGTGACCTAAAATAATACGGATCAATGAAAGAGATCGACGGGATATCTTATTTAGTCAACCTTACCATTCATAGCTGCCAAGTGAAGAGGTGTCTGATGCAAATTATTTTTAATATTAAGATCGTTTGCTTTACGGCTGAGAACTTCAGTGACGCTCTTGTGACCTGAAAAATAATTCAGATCGATGAAAAAATTAAACCAATTCCCCATTTAGTGAAAAACAGTCAAGGCTGCACTGACGAAGTGTAGTAGACATCACACACAACTCTGACACAAGTGTATGTATGCTAGTCGGTTTTGTGTGTGAGTTGGTTGCGATGGCTGTATATGCGACGTTTGTTTGCACGATTGTTGTGTGCGCGGCAGTTGTATCGCGATATGCTTGTCTATTGCACGAAGCATATTTAATGCTTGCTGCTAAGCAATACTAATGCGCATAGTACTCGAAAAGACCATTCAAAATTACCATTCTTAGCTGCCAAATGAAGAGGTGTATTATCAAAATGATTCATGATATCCACACTGGCACCTTTGTTGAGAAGAACCTCGGCGACATTTTTGTGACCTGAAAAATAATTCAGATCGATGGAAAAGATCAAATCAATCTTCCATTTAATGAAAACAAGTATTCAACATTACCATAGTCAGCAGCTAAATGAAGAGCTGTGTTATTCAAATTATTTCCAGTATTAGCGTTAGCTCCATTCTTGAGAAGCACATCAGCGACACCTCCGTGACCTAAAATAATACGGATCAATGAAAAAATTAAACCAATTCCCCATTTAGTGAAAAACAGTCAAGGCTGCACTGACGAAGTGTAGTAGACATCACACACAACTCTGACACCCGTGTATATATGCTAGTCGGTTTTGTGTGTGAGTTGGTTGCGATGGCTGTATACGCGATGTTGGTTTGCATAAAAGTTGTGTGCGCGGCAGTTGCATCGTGATATGCTTGTCTATTGGCCGAAGCATATTCAATGCTTGCTGCTAAGCAATTCTAATGCGCATAGTACTCGAAAAGAGTATTCAAAATTACCATGGGAAGCAGCAGAATGAAGAGGTGTCTCTTTCGTTCTAGTTTCACTATCAAGATTGGCTCCCTTGTGGATGAGAAGTTCGGCGACACTCTTGTGACCTGAACAATAACACCGATTGATGGGATGAAATCAGGTCAATCTTTTATTCAATAACAATAAGTATTCAACGTTACCTTTCTTAGCAGCATAATGCAGAGCTGTCTCATTAAAATTATTTCCAATATTGAGGTCGGCTCCTTCAGCGATGAGGTTTTCAGCTTCCTTCACTTTGTCTGAAAGAATATGAAAAATATTCATAGATCAATGAAACGGATCGAACAAAACATTCTTTTTTATAAAAAAAAATGTCCAAAATTACCAGCAAAAGCAGCTCTATGCAGAGCTGTCTCTCCATACATGTCTTTTTCGTTTACTAAAATATGTACGAAAAGTTTAGCATAAATGAGGTTCCCATTTCTTCGTTACAAGGTGCTTTGTATATGGAATTTAAGAGTTAAACTGGATAAATAAATGAAACTTCAATCTTACCGTTCGTCCCGGGTGGTGCTCCGCTCACATCATCGACTATGAACTGTGGAAATAGAATCAAAGTGATACATTTGGAATGGGAACAACGGATGAGATTAATACATTATGTATTAATAACAGTTTTGAACTGTTTTTAATAGAATAAGAGTTTCCGGTGGACATTTTTCTGGAATAGAAGAATTTCTTCAATTGAAGAACTTGAAAAAAGGACACTTTTCATTTTTTAAATTATTTCAGAAAAAATTATCACAAATTGTCCACGAAAAGTATCAAACATGAAAATTTTTAAAAAAATCGACTGAAATCGTCGACTCACCTCGGATACCATCAAGCCAATGAGCAGCAGTGTGAAAGAACTTCGACTCAGCATTTTCCTAGCTTCGAACTATTGAAAGTTTACTATGAACGTATCAATTGGTAAGAACTGTTTGATGGACATGCGAATCGAACGCATCCTCTTATATACTTTTCAAGTTTGGCCACATCGGTGGGCAACACACTGTATGATTCAATGCACGTACAATGACGACTCTAATTAAGGCCCACAAAATATTATCGCACACATTTTTCAAGATAACAATGTCAGACAATTGATGGAATTACAATTCCACCTGTGCGCGTGTGTTTAATTTCGCGTTTCAAACGAATATTTTGCATTGAAAATATCAGATGTTTACATTTATTCTTTCATCACCATCTTTAAACTACAAATTCAATGCAAAAATTTAAAAAGTAAATATGTTCCACTCTTGAAGGGTTGAGTGGTGTTACTATGGCACGTGGCTGTTCAAATTTAAAAAAAATTTCATCTTCGTTGCATGCGCAAAACACATTCCGTTTCAAAGTCGATCCAACATGACTCATACCTTTGCGTTACATTCAGGCGCACATGCCATGGTGGCGTTGCTTTGTTCAAAAGCTACAGTGTTAGTTGATGCAAGGATATAGGGTATCACATTTACTTTACATTACTCAATAAGGTATAGGTAGGATACGATGATATTGATACAAATCTACGCATTCCCTTAAAAAATTACAAGCGAATCTCATGCAAAATCATATCCATACTCAGTAACACTTTCCATAGAAATATAGACAGCTCCTCAATTGGTTTGAAATTCCAATGAACACACACGTAAAGAAATACTTACAATCCGATACAAATCACAAAAAAAAGAAAAAAATTCTGTCACTGTCGCATTTCGTACCAACACAGTCAACTTTTTGTTTCCATGAAATAAATTCTTCGTAGTGGTAAAAAATCTATGGCA